CACAGACACAAATACCCAGATACCCACACACACACACAACAGACACAGATCCACACCCACACACAAACGCACACAGACACACAGACACAGATACCCACACACACACACAACAGACACAGATCCACACCCACACACAAACACACAGACACAGACACAAATACCCAGATACCCACACACACAACAGACACAGATCCACACCCACACACAAACGCACACAGACACACAGACACAGATACCCACACACACAACAGACACAGATCCACACCCACACACAAACACACAGACACAGACACAAATACCCAGATACCCACACACACAACAGACACAGATCCACACCCACACACACAAACACACCGTCACAGACACAAATACCCAGATACCCACACACACAACAGACACAGATCCACACCCACACACAAACACACCGTCACAGACACAAATACCCAGATACCCACACACACAACAGACACAGATCCACACCCACACACAAACACACCGTCACAGACACAAATACCCAGATACCCACACACACAACAGACACAGATCCACACCCACACACAAACACACCGTCACAGACACAAATACCCAGATACCCACACACACAACAGACACAGATCCACACCCACACACAAACACACCGTCACAGACACAAATACCCAGATACCCACACACACAACAGACACAGATCCACACCCACACACAAACACACCGTCACAGACACAAATACCCAGATACCCACACACACAACAGACACAGATCCACACCCACACACAAACACACCGTCACAGACACAAATACCCAGATACCCACACACACAACAGACACAGATCCACACCCACACACAAACACACCGTCACAGACACAGATACCCAGATACCCACACACACAACAGACACAAATCCACACCCACACACAAACACACCGTCACACTCGCACGGCAGCAGCTGTTGCCTCGCCTGCATTCATCTTGTTCGCTTTGGCTGCGGGAGCCCCCGCAGGCTGGCACGGGCACGGACACCAGCCGACTCCGGGGGAAGACGGGAAGAGGGGCGGGGCCTGTTTTGCCAACCCACCAGTGTTCTTGGCCCAATTGCTCTTCGAAACAATAATATCCAAGCTCCAAATCATTGATTTCCAAACCAGCAACAAATTGCAGCGAATTAGATTTTGATATTGAGGTATGTTTCAGAACCAACGCAAAGGTACAACAGAAGCCAACACAAAGGCTTAGGGTTGGAACAAGCACGTCCCGACTTGATCCCTCAAAGCAAGCAAACTCTTTGAGAGCTGTTGGGGTGCCGGTGACTTTATGTCAGCCATGAAGCCCTGAGAACGTCCTTCTGCTCTGGCGCAAAGGCACGCCAAACACGGATCTGTGGGCGACTTGGGTGCCTACCATGGCTTCCTTGGAAGTCCAACTCTGCATGACGAAATCTCAGGTTGTTCGTGGTTCCTGTTTGGTAACAATAACAACTCACCATGATTAGAGTTCGGCCCAGTTGTTGAATGTACATCTTATTGTTTGCTTCACTTTGAGTCGCTGGTACAATGTAAAATGTATCCTAAGTCTACCCCAGTCACCGACCATCTGAATGGGATCCTTCGGTCCAGGCGACTGGCTCGAGCGAGGCCAAAGCACCAAACCCGACGAGCCCTTCCACGGCAGAAAGCTATGGACTTCCTGAGCACCTTGCGGATTGCACCTCAAGAAGGATGCGCCGCTAACCCTCGTTGCTGGTGCGATAGGCAAGGAATGAGTCAATGAGGGAATCAACCCAGGGATCCCCGGAAAGGAAACCGCAAGGGATGGTTTATAAGGGTCAGTCCCTCATTCCCTGCTGAGCACCAGCCAGCCTCTCATTTGCGCGACGTAAGACGCCCAAGCTATCCACGCGACCGCGAATTAAATCCGGACCTGTCGTCGTCGCTGCCATTCGTGAAGCTGTCTGAAAGGGATTCTCCAGCTTATAGTTATGAGTACATGGTATGAGTCATGTATGTACATGGTATGTGTGTACATGGTATGTGTACATGGTACGAGTCATCTTCCAACAGTCAGAAACAATTGCGCCAAAGGAACACCAAGCTATGGATTAATATGACAGGTTCGCACAAATGGACGCAGAAAAGCCTTGCGTTCTGGCCGCGCGTTTTCCTTGGCAATGTAGTGATCACCCAAGGTCTCATCCCGTTAAAACCATCCCCGAGAGAGCCTGCAACTATTATTGCTCGTGGTCCATATGGGTGTTTCGAAAAGTGTCACCCCCTCCAGCACCCCCCAAACACTGCTTCTTGGACAGTACTTGGGATTCTGGACATGGGAACAAGGGGGAACCACCAACCTTCTCTGGGCAACTAGGGGAAACCATAGGTAGCCACACCGAAGGCTGCTTGCGGATATCCGCAACTACTTCTGGCTGGGACTGCCCCTTACTAACCGAGTCATCTACCCGGGTTTTGATTGCTAACCTTCATCCACCTGGCTTTTGATTGTGGCTCAGGTGCGTTTGGTTGGTTTCTAAAGTTGGTTGGGCCTCCAGCCATAGGTGTTTCTCATCTACCCGAATCGGTTTTGAGGACGTGGCTCACCTTGGCCACACCCCGCAGTTCCGGTTGAAACGCCCGAGTTCCCAACCTCCTTCTCGGCCTTCTTCTTGCCCGCATCCTCAGTCCCAACAAACACCCGATCAAAGGCAAGCCACCCCGAAAAGAAAACCTGGGGAATTCCCCAACTGTTAAATATGCTCCTGTGGCTACCAAATATATACTGGCAATTGGGCACCCTCTTTACCACCCAAATGCTTTGTTAAGTCACTAGGTCCTCCAGTAGAGATGCTAGAATCTGGGTACCAGCTTTTTTCTTTGTTGTGTATTTTAGTAGGGGAACCCTCCCGAAAAAAAAAGTTGGTAAAAGGGCACTACTGGGAGACCTAGACTCACCGGTGTGGTTGCCACATTGGTTCCGAAAGTCCAAACAAGTTCAAAGATCGCAGCAAACCCCGGGCTCTAAAATTTATCTCTTGCGGGAGCCCCGGATTGAACAACAAAAAAAGAAGAACAAAAAAACACGAGGGGGCACCCGAGAGCTCGTGCTCTACTTGTTGGCTTGTTGGCTCGGTGCATCTGTTTCCTTACTTGGCACTGGACCGTGTTCGAATCATCAGCTGAAGAGATTCAACCCCCGAGCCGTTTTTTCGCCAGGGTCCACATACTCTAAGTACTTGGCTCAAACCTTCGCATGAGCAAAATCATGTCTGCAGCCTTCCAAGGGATGCGTCAAAATCAGGATGCAGCCCAACCCAAAACACGCTACCCTCACAACACTTCGCGCTTGCATGACTCACATTGGCCCAGCCTTCTCCACAGGTGCAGTCGGGGGCACATACCTGCGGCAGACGTGCATTATTTGACACCATCATCGTCACTTGGTTGACGTTGGAAGAGGAGCAAAAAATATTTCAGCAGTTAAGATGGGATTTCCCACTAAACCACCATAAGCAAAAATGTCAAATGTCTCCCAATGGCAACCATCTTCATGGTCCCACTGAAAGCAACAAGACACCCACAAAGCCTCGGAGCTTGCTCTTAACAAATCTGATGTCTGTTCACGCATTTCATTGAACCTCGCCTGTAAACTGATTTGGGGGGTTGATCAAAAGGTCCGGTAAACATGAGACGACCCTTCAAACAACCGCCAGAAAGGATAACTTGCACAACATGGGAAATATTTCCAAGGTCAAAACTGCGGGCCAGGAATTCCGAAGGGTTACCTATGGCGAAACGCCTGGAAGGGGGCCCAGCTTTAAATGGTTTTCACTGACACACAAACGAACATGCACGCGCACAAAAGGGGTTTGCGTTTTTGTTGAGGGTACTCACTTTCTGGCTTTAAAGGACATTTTGCGTAGTGCCCTAAAACATCACACACTCCCTTGGAGAAAACCGGAGGGGGGGGCTTCGTTTGATCCCCATGGTTTCCTAAGTTTGAGCAACCAGCCCCGGCGGTATCCCCAGCCCCCTGGAACCGAACACCCTCCCCCCGCAAATCCCCCCCATAAGCCCTCCCTGAAAGCTGCCGGAAAAATAAATAAATAAAAAATGAGCGCCGATCTGGGCCTGACCCCAGAGCTGAGAGGTAGGAATTGATGCAGCCTCTCCTGAGAAGTTTTTTCCCTACTTCAGGATCCCCTGGGTTGATCCCTAATCCCCTGGGTTGGTCTCTAAATTGCAGATTGCTGGTTTCCATGTTGGTTCCCTTCAGGACCATTCCGATCCATATTTGGTCAACCGAAAACTAGGCTTGCTGAAGTCCCCTTGGGAAAAAATGAGGAACGTTTTCCGGTAGTGATAGATTCCCTTCAAAACCAAAAAGATATATATATTTCTATATACATATATATATATATAACATATCCTCAAGCACATGGAAGAAAGGATCTTTGTGAACCCCTATTTTCACATTGACATGTAAATGGAAGCAACGGGAAGAACCAATGGTCTCATTAAGCCAAATGGAAGACAAGTCCAACCAGTGTTACATTGAAACTACCCCTAAACCAACTAAAACTACTAAAAACTAGGAAAGCGGATGACTGGGAACTAGGTCCTCCAGTTTTGTGAGGTTAGAATAAGGGTACCAACTTTTTCTGTAGTCTATTTTAGTAGGGGAACCCTCCCAACCAAAAAGGGACCTAGTATATCCAAAACCGCGCCCATGAGTTTGCCATGTTCAAAGTGGTTGGCTGAAGCGAGACAGTCCCCAATCACTTTGATAATCTCCAGGAAAGTTCAAAGAACAACACCAGCAAAGCGAGTTTTAAAATCCACTGCTTCGCCCTTTGCAGAAGTGACAGATTCCTTGAAAACCAGAGAAAATCACCAGAAACAATCAGGGTTAACCCTCCCAACCAAAAAAGGTGGTGAGAAAGGGCACCTAACTGGGAGACTTCGGTTTTCTTCGCCCCCTGCAGAGATTCCCTTGAAAACCAAGGAATGAGTGATTCCCCAACGCAAATACCAACGAGCAATGGATTCAACCATGGTTTCGTTTCGTGGTGCGAACGGATTTCGCAAGCATCCACAGTAGGTCCCCCAGTAGTGCCCTTTTACCAACTTTTTGGGGGAGAGTTCCCCTACTAAGATAGACTACAGAAAAAAGTTGGTACCCCTATTCTAACCTCTCGGAACTACCCAGAAAAAGAAGAAGAAAAAAAAGAAAAGAACAAAAAAACACTTCTCCGGGGCCCGATCCGCCCGGGGCCTTGGCAACACCGTGGCGGATTTGGCGGCGGCCGCCGCCTGCTGCAGCGCCGCCGCTGTGTCTGCCTTGCGAGAAGGACTCGTTACAGACCGAACCTCTGGCTATGAAACATTTCCCTGGGTGCTGTAGATCCCCCAGCAAAATGTTGAGAATTTTTGTTGGTTAGAAGGACATATGAAGGGAATGCAAAAAGTTCCCTGGGTTCCAACCCACTTTATAAGGGGTATATACCCTTTTGGGGAGAGGGGTATGAACATCAGCAGGCCTTTTGTTATGTACAAGCACCCTGGACTCTGGCTATGAAACATTTCATGGAGTCCTCCCCTCGTCCTCTTGTCGTCCTCCCGTCCTCCCGTCGTTCACGTGTCGTCCACCCGTCGTCCACCCGTCGCCCGCCCGTCGTCCACCCGTCGTTTTCTTGACATACTAGCCCTGTACCACACGTAGCTCATGACTAGAAACCACTCATTACATGTCTACTGGACCTAGTATATGTATATATATATATATTTATGATACACGTGTCTACCAAACTTGGTGGCTCCCAGCCATCCGGTTCTTTAGCTTTTTAGATCCTTTTAGTGTTTAGTGGCAGTTTCCGAATTTAACCCACTAAAAGTTAGTCAAATGCGGGGGATCTGAGGGCAGCCCAGGTGCCATCACCCGTGATTTCGCGCAATGTGATATGTGGTGCGTGTGGTTTTTCTGCAACTGTGGTTGGCGCAGGGAACCAAGGATCGACAAGAGGACGACGGCAGCGCGACAAGAGGACGACGGGAGGATGACGGAAGGAAGACCAGGAAGACGACGAGAGGATGACGGGACAACGAACGGACAACACATTTGCTGGGATGTCAATTGCACGCAAAGCGGACCGTCTAAATCACCGCGACTCTACGCTGCGACTATCTGCAAAAGTCAAACTGCTACAAGGACCTGACGTGCCAAATGCCATATGGGAGAAGTGACATACGAGGCTACTCCCGAGCGAGATGAGCTTTGCGTGGCTGGGTAGTGCTAAGTCAGAGTCGTCGTCGTAGTCAATCGGAGTCAAACGTCACAAGCTGTCCTGCTGCATGTTGCGTGCGTCATGCACTCATGCATGAGTCATGAGTCTTTTAAGCCTTATGAGCATGTCAACCCGCCGCCCTTTGTTTTGAGCCACAGCTCTCAGCATGGATACGTCAGCACATGTTGATTGCTGAAAAAGCAACATCATACAGCGAGGATTCGGCACTGAACAGAAGGCTTAAAGGGTGTTGTCAACGGCTTCGCCTTCTTAGCTGTTGTTTCTCCAACTGGCCTGCGTCATTTGAGTTGCGAAAAGGAACAACGCAAGCACACACTTCTCTATTTGCATCACCAGGGCGGGTCAGGGCCCACACTGCAAGCAAAGGCACACACCACGAACTTTCCGGGTCATCGGGGCTGCAAGGGTACTGTCAACGGCCTTGCCTTCTTCGACTGAGTATTCTAAGGTGATTAATTGCAAGGTTAGCTGGCCAGGCAATTGAAGGAATCAAGACCAGGACTATCTCTGGCAAGGACCGGCGAGCAAAAGCACACAGCGTCACAGCATGGATTCACCATGTCCGCAGGTCTGCAAGAGTGTTGTCAAAGGCCTATATTTTCTTTTGAACCTATACATGTTGAGCAGTTCAGCAAGCAATAAATACGAAACCCAGCAGTTCTTCTGAATCTACATGCTTTTTGCTATGGGAAGGCCATTGAGGCCATCATGCCATCACCGGCAAGCAACAGCACACAGCGCGGATTCTATGCGCGACCGTGTAATGTCTGCGCCCTCACCGACACAATCGCCGCAAAATGAGGACAATGCCGGACCGGAGCACCTCGGCGCACCAACAAACAGCAGTGCGCGTTGCCAGTTAAGTCAGTCAACTGCGCTTCTGTGAACATGTCGAAAAGCGGCGAAAAGCGACTCCCTGAAACTGATGCCAGACAAGCCCTGGAGCCGAAGAAGTTCACACAGGAGCATCGCAACTGCACGCGAGTCAAGTCGGCTCAAACAACTGATGCTCTCTTTATCAGCACTGTGTAAGCGCAAAAGCAGCTTCAAAACAGATGTTAGATGTCTGTCACGCGCGCGTCACTGCGTCGCACAATGCTCTGCAAGCTGCACATGACTGACGATGGCAACACCTCCAGCAAATGGGAGCTGTCATGCACATTAGCCAGCGCGAGAATGGGCATGCATCTATGTGCCATTGGCGCGCACATTGTCACAGTCAGATTCACATCTGTCTAGCAGGGATGCCTCCTGTGTGCGGGCTGGAAGTGCTTGGTACCACGGCGACGCATTAACTTTCTGGCTTTGGGCAGATCGGCCACAGCATCGCGCCCCGGCTGAGAGAATCCATGATGATCGATGATGGTAATCAGACCAACAGGGCGTCCTTATGTTAGCCCCCAGTCTTTTTTCCAGGTCCCTGGCGCTACCCCCCCGTCGCTTTTTTCCTAGATTTAAGTCACAGCCATTGTTATATCGGCGTAGCATCCAGAGAGTCATAGTCAGAGTCATAGGCATAGGGCATCATAGGCTTAGCCAATTAAGTTATGTTTAGATTAGTTTACGCATGCTTCAAGTTTAACTACAGCCTTAAGTTGAAGTTAAAGTCCAAGTTGTAACCCTATGGTCTGTCAGCAAACGCTCCTGCGTTTGCGCTTGCATGTGTTAAAGTGTGACTGTGCTTGCGCGATTTGACGCTCTGCAGCTGCGTTGCAGCTTTCCCGCAGGCTAGCCTAGTCTAAATCCAGAGTCTGGCGATTCCTCACGCAAGCAGCTTGGCATTGGTTTACAGGGCCTCTAGTCGCCCAACGACCTGGAAATACAAGAACAATTGACAATAATGATTATTAACTAATCTTATGGGTCATGGGACTTATATAACGGGACTTATGAGCTTCGTACAAACTTGTACGAACTTGGAATGGCCTGATACGATATTTACGGACCAACATGAAAAAGTTAAAAAAAAAAACGAGAAAAATCGGTTTTGGCCTTGCGCCCACCCCGCACCCAGGCGACGCCGCTCCGCCAAGCTCATGCGCATCTTGACTCACGCCTGGCTTGTGTCGCTGAGTTGCAGCGCTGGCGGTTTGTGCGTTTTCACGAAGTTCGCGCACATGGCTGAGTCCGCGCAGCGGGTGGTTGTGAATTAGCAGGAAGCCGTCCTGGGCAGCAACAGGATCAGCTCCCTCCACTAGGCCAACCACAAATCTCATGACTCAGTCACGTGACGCAAGCCTAACACCCAAGATAGCATTTGTTGAGTGTCTAGTGCTTGCAACTCATACAAGAGCTGGCGGGATGCCTCCCCACTCCACCCCGCAGCCCCCACCCCCACCCCCCACCCGTCGCACAAACGTCGTACACCCGCCGCACACCCGCCGTCCACCCGTCGCACGCCCGTCGTCCGCCAATCATGCACCCGTCCTAAGGTCTGGTTTGGGCCCAAACCCAACCTCAGGACGGGGGACGGACATTAGCCCAACAGCCCACCAGCCCAACAACAGCCCCAGCAAAAGCAAGAGATCAACCCAATAGCCAGTGTCAGTGCACAGCGCGCACAACACACACCCAAGACAAAGAGCGGGGCAGAAGGCGAAAAGCCAAGAACAAGGCGCAACACACGCACACACGCTCAAAGACAAACAGCAGGCTGGGCGGCGCAGCGAAGGGCAACCAGCCCCAAGAACAAAGTGCAACACGCACACACACAACGAAAAGCAGATGGTGCCCCCCAATTGCCCAGCGCCCCTGCAAGAAAAGGGAAGCGTTTCTCGGATTGAATATTATTGTACCTGTGTGTAGCCCCGGCCTGATCTTTTTGTCACACACCCACTTCCGAACAAGTGGATCGGGCAAGCCAAGGCCTCTATACTTTAGAGGTTATTACTTTACAATTCTTTTGCAGTGTTGAATCTATAGTTTGTAACTTTCAGTTTGCATTGCAAGATTTGACGCAGAGACACCCGTATCAAGTATCAGAAGCATGCTTCGTGACTCGCGACTATCACTGGACTACCACTGCTATGACCATCACTGTCACTGTTATTTCATCGCCAGCCAGCCTGACAGATTAATTATGCAGATAAAAAGCCTTGCCTGCATCAACTTCTGGGCGAACTGTCGGGCACCTGTACAAGCGCATCCCGAACCTCGGCTGTGACCCTGACGGGGCCCATGCAACGCGGTGGATGCCATAAATCTGTTCCATAGTCTATGATCTCTGTCAGTCTGCTACAAGTATGTGCTCACTACCTGAGTGAATATATAGCCTTTGGCCCAATGGCCTAAATGATAGAACGATGACCTATATGACTTTCTCCACAAAACGTGTCTTCACCAGAACAACCAGTGCAACGTTGCATTGTCAGTTTAACAGCGCAAAACAGCGTGGATGCCGTAGCTACGCATCGCACATTGCTCCAACAGATCAAAGCATGCCTTGAGGCACCCATTTCTGGACTCCCCCCTATCTGCTCCACCAGTTGCCTCGGCGCTTGAACAGTGCGATCATCCTCAAACTTCTGCGCGGTCTGGCTGCGCACGACGCGGAGCAGCAAACATACAGAACTATAGCTGGCCGCAAATGGCTTGCCGATGGACCGACGGATGTCAGTTTCCCCAAGCCAACGCAACATGTCCAACCTCCTGCAACTTCAACCCCGAACACAGGAGGTGCGTACTATCATGCCAATGTAGTGTGTCTTGGATTAGGAATTCAGGTTTGTAAATTATAGGCTGATATAGGATTTAGGCTATAGGCTACAGGCTATGGGCTCTTCATAGGCATCCCTGCATCCCATCGTTTACCCCAGCTCACGCGCCATGCATACTCCATCTACCTTGCAGCCGTGCGCATCTCCGTAAGTCTCTGAAAAGAAAGCAACAAGAAATATCCCTCACCTTACTTGGCGTCACACAGTCAACGCCTGCGTTCCTGATCACTTTGCGAACGTACCTTGGGGGCGACATCGAAGAACAAGGAACAAACGGAAAACAAAAAGGAACTAATCTAATTACACTTGTCCACGCTAGTCCCCACTTGCTGCACTCGCTCCAATGTTGCGGCAATCCGGCAAACGGGTAAAGCACAACGACAGTAAAAGGGCGCCCGTCTTGCAGCCAAGACACCCAGCCGAGCCAATCTTGCTGTCCAGACCCGGGCTGCAGTCGCATATGCGTGGTCGGGATCACACTGCGTGCATGACGGGCTGACGCTGGTGTGGTGGGATTGCTGCTCGGTTTCCGCAAGGCCAGGCTGGGCATTTGGTCAGTTGGTCGGTTCATTGGTGGCTCGATCAGTTGCGCGGCTCGGTTGGTTGCCAAGTTGCTTGGTGGGTGAGTGGTTGATTGGTTGACAGGTTTGCTGGTTGGTTTTCTGGTTGGGAGATTGCCAGGCTGGTCGATTGGCTAAGAGTCTAG